ACCCCGCACAACATGATCTACTCGACCACCATTATGGTCGAAAAAAATAAAAAAACGGTAACCTGGTTTCCGGGCTCACGAAGTGAATTGGCTTGTTTTACAACGTCGTTGCCAAGCGACGAAAACCCAATCCCGATGGCGAACACCGATGGGGGGGCTTGTGTTACAACGTCGTTGCCAAGGGACGAAAACCCAATCCCGATGGCGAACACCGGGGGGGGGGCTTGTGTTTCAACGTCGTTGCCAAGGGACGAAAACCCAACCCCGATGGCAAACCGGGCGGGGGGGCGGCTTGTTTTACAACGTCGTTGCCAAGCGACGAAAGCCCAACCCCGATGGTAAGCACCGGGGGGGAGGGGGGGGGCGTACTCTTATGTCTTGCATGTCTTAGCGGTTAGACCATTGACCACGCGTCCTCGAGAGGACCGAACACTTTTCCCACAGGACCGATCACCGATGGCCAATCGTCCCTTTCTACTTTGCCACAGGTGGCTCAAAAATGTCTTCCCTAGTCTGTCTACCCTTACGATATCCCTTCCTGCCTTTTCAACCCACCTCCTTTGCCCCAGTACAGCTAAGGTCGTTTCCTCTCTATTCCATGCCTCAAACATCTCCCTGTACGACGGGGGGGGAGGGGAGGGATTAAAAGTCGACCGCCGCCGTACAAAAAACGCGAGCAAGTAACTGGCCAATCAAAACCGCAATTCAGAGAACCAATCAACAGCGTGGACGACGTGTGGACACATGGGAACCGACGGAACCAAAACCAACGCGAGAAAAGGAAGTCACGAGGGAAATATGCAGCAATAATAGTAAAGGCCAAGGCCATTCAGCAGCCGGAAAGCTCCGACGGCCCGGGTGGCAAGACACACACACATGGAACCGCACGGGAACATAAATGATCCCACCCCGCCTACAATTCCACACACACATCAGAACACTAAAACGCACATGATATTCTTGAAACAAGCCGTCGTAAACGAAGTACCGGCAACACTATCAACAACGGAAGCTAACCGTACCGCCATCAGTACCAGAGGAAAAGGGGGGGGTGTACGCATACAGCAGTACTCAAGTCGTGTATACGGTAGTCGATAACCATTGGCCACGCATCCCTACAAAGTCGGGACGGAGCACGGCGGGCTCTCACCTGACCAGCCTCTCCACATCACCAAGCGCGAACCGCCGTGAGGTGTTCGGCGAGTCGCCGGAGGGGGGGGGGGGGGG